AGCGTGGGCCGTGCGAGCCCCTTGGTCGATGTCCTTCAGTAGCCACTCCTTCCACGCGCGGTCAGCACCGTTCTTGGCAGCGAGCGAGGCCATCTTCAGCGCGTCTGCGAGGCGCGTCGAGATGGTGTAGCAATCATCGAAAGACTGGCCGTCCTTCGCTATAAACTCACATACATCTGCATACAACTGGCTGAACTCACTCTTGGCGAAGTTGTCCAGAATGAAACTCGAAGGGGAACAGATGGCTGCTTTTGCGTATAATCTGGCTGGCTTGTTGGGCTCTCCAGCCCGTGCATGAATCCACCAGAGCCGATAATTCTGACAGAGCCAGCGGACACAGAACAAAGCGGGGTGTCGACCTGGACGTTTGTCTCTTTTCCTGATGTCAACCCACCAGACTTGTGGAGATTCTCCCCGACAACCATTCTTAGGCAACTTGGTCTGTAGGGCCCCTTCTAACTCCAACTCCGCCGTATTAGCCCAAGACTTGTACAACGTGTCGAGCCCCTCAAATGCCTCGCGAGACCCACGCTGAGCACAATCAAAAACTCCCTCAGGAAGTTTGAGAACTTGGCTCCAGTCACGGGGGGCAGGGGCAGGACCAATAGGAGGTTCGACAGGAAGAGGGGGAGGTTTCCGAAACGATAACACCTTCAGGTCCTCCAACTGCTCGAAAAAAGGGCATTTCCACAGGATAATGTGGTGAGATGTTAACATTACGATTTACCTGGATCGAGCAGATACCTTTGGCGAGCCCACTAGAAACCAGGAAATAGTCCAGGACTCGAACTCCCGCAGAAGAAAGACACGTCCCAGACTCCGTGCTCACCAACTGGGCCTCCAGGGACTCAACGTACTGGCACTTGCCTAAGACCGCGGGGTCCATGTTGAAGTCCCCTCCGATAATGTACGAAGACATGCACGAGCTGACCGTGGAGCCTATCTCAGCGAGAATGTCAAGATTCGCATCGCTGAGCTCTTCAACACAGTGCAAGTAGCAACTGATCAGCAGGATGGGATCCCCCTTGCCTACATGAGTCCACGCTGCCATTGCACGGTGCTGGCATACCTTAGTACCTCCGACTGGTTCGTGCAATCCAAGAAAGCTCCTGACCAGAACCGCCACCCCGCCTGAGGTGTACACGTCCGTATCTTCACGAGTCACCTTAGCTGGTTCGAAGAGGCCCTTCCACCCGTTCTTGAGCAACCAACTCTGGGCCTCAGCAATCTGGTATTCTCTAAGGTGATGCTCCTGTAACAAAACTACGTGAGCCGACGTGGTCGGCAGCCACTCTTTGGCTGATGACCACGCCGTACAATTGCAACTACAAACCTGCAGTGCAATGGCATCCTTACCAGGGGCCTGGGGGGCCCCAAAGAAGTCAAAACTGTCAGACCCCCCTGGCAGGGGCTGAGAGAGCCCACACCCCACGTCGGCAGGACAAAATTTAACGTGGGGGGCGGAGATGCTTGCCGAAAGGCTCGTCTGTGGATATGCGAAAGGCTGCACAGACAGAGTGTCGAGCCTTCCAAAACCATTTCCGAGACTGCCCGTGGCCGCTGGGCCACTGCCGGCAGGAGACAAAAGAAACCAGAGAAACGTATCCAGTTTTGAGATGGTCCGAGCGAGGCGATCCACAGGCTCGAGCTTACAAAAAGTTTTTCCATGGAGACGTTTCCCCCTGCCGTCCTTATGGGGTACGCGCGGCAGGGGGAGGGGCTTGCTGAGGCTTGTCAAGAACCGCAGCCGCACGCTCACGCACTGAAGAGGCTGCTGAAACGTCACTCTCGCTGCCTTCCCCAGCAGCCGCCACAGACTCCGCCTGTGGCTCACGTGAAGCAGGAGCGGCAGGCGGTGTCCTCGGCGCTGTTCCTGCCGCAGCCGTCGGCTGAGCTGCCCCAGGCAGCGTGCCTCCATCCTCGTCGGCCCGCCGCTTCTTGCCCAACCTAGCCACGTGCTTGGCCTGCTCCTCACGAATGTTTTTGGCCTTCGAGAGGGCGTCAGCGAACATGGATGAGCAGGCTTCGCGGAACTGGGCGTTGAGCGTCTGGCGGCGCGTCTCCATCTCATCCCTATCTTCCCTGGCAATAGTATATTCACTCTCGTCGAATTTGAAAATCGAGTCGAGGCTGACCAGGTCGAACACGGTGCACTTACCATCCATGAGCTCGGATACATCGACCTTGCCGACGACTCCCTTTGAACAGTCTTCGGTGCTGACCATGCCACCAGCCAACTCCCTGACCAGCTCCTTGTATTTTTTGTCGGCGTCCTGAAGCTCGGCGCGTGCAGCAGCAGCAGCGTCCCGTTGCACACTGAGCTGATCTTCCAGCTTGCCGAGGCGGTCCAATTCGACTGAGAGTTTCCTTTCCCAGTATTGAACGTTACTATGAGCTTTTGCGGCCCGCTGTTGTACAGGAGCGGGCTGTGCTGACTTCGTGAGCTTGTCCAGGGCCTGCTTGTGCTTGTTAGCGGCTGACATATCTCCTCCTTTCTCGCAGAGTGAGATGAGCTGGCGCAGCTCGTCAGCCGAGAGGGAGACACTTCCGACACTGCCGTTGAACCCGCTGCCACCAGCCCCACCACCAGGAGGAACTTGAGGCCCAGGAATGCGCGGAAGGTCTGGCCACTGAGCTGGATCATGCCTCTCTGCGCCGCAATGCTTGCAGAAAACCCACGAGTCGATGTTCTTGTTGCAGTTGCACTGGCTGCACCGCCAGCGCCTGCCGCTCCACTGGCCTGCCCACGCAGCCCCCTGCCCCCTGCCCTCGCGGCTGCCCCACTGGGACGGGCCGCGCCAGGGCGGGGTAGGCTGCCAGGCACCATTGCCTTGCCCACGCGACTGCCAGGAGCCATTGGACATGGCAGAGGGAAACTCTGTGGAGCGGTCAGAAACGAGCCACCTGACCCGATACTGCAATGCCGTTTTGAAGTTCGCAGTATCAAACACACCTGTGTGCCAGAACGGCTGCAGGATGAGGAGGAGGAGGAGGAGGAGGAGGAGGAGGAGGAGGAGGAGGAGGAGGGGGAGGGGGAGTGGGAGGGGGAGAGGGAGGGGGAGGAGGAGGAGGAGGAGATCTGGCATGGGGGACACGGGTCCTTTGGAGGTGGATAGACCTCCTACCCTGACGCGTCGATTAAGGAATTGGCCGTTTTCGGTTCGCGAGAGGGCGTCGCGGCCGTCATTTTTGCAGGTCCAGGTCCGTCGGTTTCGGTCCCAGGCCGTTTTCACTGAGAGGGTTTACTAAAGGGAGGTTTGTCCACCGCCGGGTCCCGAGGGAAAAGGGGCCTTGGACCCCGGGGCCTTCCCCAGGACGAGCTCTTCACCCTGGGCCGCTGCCTGACAGTCCCAGGGCCCGTGGGTTGCCCCGAGAGGGCCCGAGAACGGCGAAGAACCTCGGGACCCGATTCCCTCGGGACCCGTTCCCCCTCCCCCGCGGCGAGGAGGAGGAGGAGGAGGAGGAGGAGGAGGAGGAGGGGCCCGATGCCCTCGGGACCCGATTCCCTTCCGCCCCCCCCCGCGGCGAGTTGGGGTCGGCCACGCGCGGAGCGGGCGGGAATGCAGGGGGGGGGGGAAGGCGTCTTAGAGAAGCACCCCTGCCTCTTGGGAGGTGCTGGCCTTCGCTATACTCATGGTAAGGCCAGCGCCTCCTTCTAAGAAGTGGCCCCCTCCTAAGAAACCCTCCCTTCTAAAACACCCTTCTAAGAGCGCCCCCCTTCTAAGAAGCCCTTCTAAGATCGCCTCCTTGTAAGAAGCCTTCGCTATTCAGGAGGCGAACAACACAGACACAATGAGTCGTCGATCCCTAGGAAAATATGGGAACATATGGGAAGTGGGGGGGAAGAGAAACACCCAGACTATATGGAACAATATTTGGAATCCTGTCATTTGTGTGTATTCATGTGTGTGTGTGTGTGTGTGTCGCAGGGCCCCTTCAGCCATATTCATGGTAAGGCCAGCGCCTCCTGAGAGGCGGCCCCCTTCTAAGAGGCCCTCCCCCCTCCCCCTGCCCCCCGCTGCGCGCCGCCAACTGGGAGCCCCAGGCTGGGGCCCATTGGACCCACTTCTTCCCGCTGGCGATGTGGACACACCGGCTGATGATGATGATGATGATGATGATGATGATGATGATGATGATGATGATGATGATGATGATGTGATGGTGATGATGCTGATGATGATGTTGATGATGATGCTGATGCCGATGCCGATGCTGATGTTGATGATGCTGCTACTGCTGCTGCTGCTGATGATGATGATGCTGCTGATGGTGATGATGATGATGATGATGGTGCATATGATGATGATGCTGATGATGATGATGATGATGAGGAGGAGGAGGAGGATGATGATGAGGATGATGAGGACGATGATGATGATGATGATGACGATGATGATGATGATGCTGCTGATGATGATGCTGATGCTGATGCTGATGCTGATGCCGATGCTAAGTCTGATGCTGATGCTGATTCTGATGCTGATGCTGATGCTGTCGATGACGATGCTGATGATGATGGTTATTGTTATGATTATGCTTAGGAGTATGATGATGATGCCGATGCTGCTGCTGATGATGATGATGAGGATGAGGATGAGGATGAGGGTGATGATGATGATGATGATGCTGATGATGATGATGATGATGATGATGGTGATGATGATGATGATGATGATGGGCATGGTGATCGTGATGGTAATGGTGATGGTGATGGCGCTGATGATGATGCTGCTGATGACGATGCTGATGATGATGATGATGATGATGATGATGATGATGATGATGATGATGATGGTGCTGCTGTTGCTGCTGCTGCTGATGATGCTGCTGCTGCTGATGATGATGATGCTGATGATGCTGATGATGATGATGATGATGATGATGAGGAGGACGAGGACGAGGAGGAGGAGGAGGAGGAGGAGGAGGAGGAGGAGGAGGCCTGATCAGGCTGGGACCCACCGCACCCACTTCTTCCCGCTGGCGATGTGGACCCACAGGCTGGTGCCCCCGCCGGAGGAGGCCGTCAAGGACGTGGGCGAGGAGCGAAGCGCGGAGCGGGCAGCCGTGGGCCTGGCCTTCGGGGAGGAGCTCGACCCCGAGGACGTCGGGGGGCGAGGAGGAGGAGGAGGAGGAGGAGGAGGA